TCGTGGTGCCCCCCTGGGCCGCCGAAGCATTTATTTTCGTGGTTCGTTCGTGGTTCGTCGTCCCTGGACCCCCCCCCTCCCCCGAGCCTCCCAGGATCCCCTGCCCCGAGCCTCCCCCCGAGCCTCCCAGGGCAGCCCCCCTGGGCCGCCGAAGCCTGTATTTTCGTGGTTCGCTCGTCGTCGTCCCTGGACACCCCCCCCCTCGTCCGAGCCTCCCAAAATCCCCCTGCCCCGAGTTTCCCCCGAGCCTCCCAGGGCAGCCCCCCTGGGCCGCCGAAGCTTTTATTTTACGTGGTTCGTTCGGGTTCGTCGTCCCTGGACCCCCCCCCCCTCCCCCGAGCCTCCCAGGATCCCCCTGCCCCGAGCCTCCCCCCGAGCTTCCCAGGGCAGCCCCCCCGAGCCTCCCAGGGCAGCCCCCCTGGGCCGCTGAGCCTCCCCCGAGCCTCCCAGGGAGCCCCCCGAGCTCCAAGGGCCCCCCAGGGCAGCCCCCCTGGGCCGCCGAAGCCTCATTTTCGTGGTCCCCCCTGGGCCGCCGAAGCCGAACGAAAGCATTTATTTTCGTGGTTCGTTCGTGGTTCGTCGTCCCTGGACCCCCCCCCTCCCCCGAGCCTCCCAGGATCCCCCTGCCCCGAGCCTCCCCCCGAGCCTCCCAGGGCAGCCCCCCTGGGCCGCCGAAGCTTGTATTCTCTTGCAGAGCTGTGCTCTAGAGCTCGGACATCTTTATTCTCTTGCACAGCTGTGCTCTAGAGCTCGGACATCTTTATTTTCGTGATTCGTCGTGTCGTTCGTCCCCCTCGCCCCCCCCCCTGTCCACGCTTCCCAGGGTAGCCCCCGTGGGCCACGGAACCCTTTATTTTCGTCGTTCGTCGTGTCGTTCGTCCCCCTCGCCCCCCCCCCGTCCCCCTCGGCCCGCCCCCCCCCTGTCCACGCTTCCAAGGGTACCCCCGGCCCCCCCCCCCCCCCCCCCTCTGGCGCCCCCCTGTCCCCCACCCCCCCCCCCCCCCCCTTCCCCCCTTCCCCGCCTACCCCTCGCCCCCCCCCTGCCCACGCTCCAGGGTAGCTCCCCTGGGCCACGGAACCATTTATTTTAGTGTTCGTCGCGTCGTTCGTCGTCGCCCCCCTCGCCCCCCCCCTGTCCACGCTTCCCAGGGTACCCCTCGCCCCCCCCCCTGTCCACGCTTCCCAGGGTAGCCCCCCTGGGCCACGGAACCCTTTATTTTCGTCGTTCGTCGTGTCGTTCGTCCTCCTCGCCCCCCCCCCCTGTCCACGCTTCCCAGGGTAGCCCCCCTGGGCCACGGAACCCTTTATTTTCGTCGTTCGTCGTGTCGTTCGTCCCCCTCGCCCCCCCCCCTGTCCACGCTTCCCAGGGTAGCCCCCCTGGGCCACGGAACCCTTTATTTTCGTCGTTCGTCGTGTCGTTCGTCCCCCTCGCCCCCCCCCTGTCCACGCTTCCCAGGGTAGCCCCCCTGGGCCACTTCGGACACGTTTTTTTATTTTCGGTCGTGTCGTGTCGTGTCGTTCGTCCCCCTGCCCCCCCCCCTCTGCCCCCCCCCGCCCAGGCTTCCCAGGGCAGCCCCCCTGAGTCTCGGACACCTTTGTGCAAGAGCCAGGGCACGCGTGCCACTTGTTTTCGTCGCGGTTCGTTCGTCCCCCTGGGCCCCTCCCCTTGAGACCCAGCTCCTCTGGGCCCCCCCCCCGTGGGAGCCTTTGGGAACCCCCCTCCGTCCAGGCTTCCTAGGGCAGCCCCCCTGGGTCACGGAACCGTTTATTCTCTTGCAAAGCTGTGTTCTAGAGCTCGAACCCATTTATTTTCGTCGTTGTGGTTAGTCCACCTGGGCCCCCTCTGGCTCCCCTGGGCCGCGGCCCCCCCTCCCCCGAGCCTCCCGGGACTGCTCCCCCCCCCTGCGGCGGCGCCGCGGCGGCGACCGCGGGCGGCGAGCCGCGCGGCGGGGCGCCGCCGACGACTGTCGTCGTCGTCGTCGTCTTCGTCGTTGTTGTCCTCGTCGTCGTCCTCCCCCTCCTCCTCCACTTTCTTTCTGGCTCCTCGTAAACTCCTCCTGAAAGGATAGAGCGGGGGCCTCCTGTCCTTCGCAGCTCCTTTGTGCAAGAGCCAGGGCACGCGTGCCACTTGTCTTTATTTTCGTTCGTTCGTGGTCGTCCCCCCCCCGCCGCCCCCCCCAAGTGTTTCCGCAGGGCAGCTAGCCCCCCCCCCAAGTGTTTCCGCAGGGCAGCTAGGCAGCCCCCCTGGACCGCGGAACCCTTTATTCTCGTTCGTTCGTGGTCGTCCCCTTCCCCCCTCCCCCCCGAGGGCTCCCCAGGGCAGCGCTCCCCAGGGCCCCCCGCCCCTAGAGCAGCATCCCCCCCCCCAGGGCTCCCCAGGGCAGCTCTCCAGGGTTTCCCGGGGCAGCTCCCCTGGACCGCGGAACTCTTTATTTTCGTTCGTTCGTGGTCGTCCCCCTCCCCCCTCCCCTCCCCAGGGCTCCCCAGGCCCCCCCCCGCC